CAATCATATACACAGATACACATTTTGGTTTTGTATATATATAGTTATATATATAGGCATATATGTTTTGGTTTAGCTATATAGATATGAAATAATATATATCTTCATATACACTTTTATATGTTTCATATTCTATTGTATTTGGAAAAATATTGTATTTTTGATTTATAGACTTAACAACTATAGTTTATACTTTTTATCAAATCTATATAATCATTTTGCAAAGTTTCAAATTTTGGTTTATATCAAAACATCAAATTTCAAGCATATCAAGTTTTCTTGTTTTGGACATTTTTGAAAAATGAAGAGATTTCTCATTTGGGAGGTGCAAATTGAAAAATTCTTTTTGTAACATGTTTATTATCATGTTTACAATTATTTTCTAAAGTTTTACATTTTTTTGAATTTATTTGCTATTTTTAAAAGAGGTTTATAAATCAGATTTATTGTTTTAAACATGCTGATATTATGTTATCAGTCGACTGATGCAAGTGTTCAGTCGACTGAAGAACTCGCCTGGAATCATCAAAAGTTTCTATTTTTTTTATTTAGTCGACTGATCAGTCAACTGATGAGGTCTTCAGTTGACTGACGGGGTCTTTAGTCGACTGATGAGCTATGAGCTGCCGTAACGGTCAGCTCATCAGTCGACTTATCGAACCTGTCAGTCGACTGATGCTGTAACGGCTAGATTTTTCCAGCTTTGGCTGTTTTGGGTTTTTGGTTTTTTGCCTTGTTTTCTCTTTCCTTTGGGGTTCCTATAAATGCCTCCACATATCCTCAGTTCATTTTAACTAAGAGAAAAGTTTTAAAGAGTTTTTACAAGTTTGTTTAAGGGTTTTAAGTTTTTGTTTCAAGTTTCGATTTGTGAAGAAAGTTTCACAAGAGCAAGAAGGGATCATCCATTCCTTGTTTGGCCTTCAACTTCATCTCTCCTACTCTTCTTATATAGATGAGTTTTTCTTAAACTCAATTCTAGCAATTTATATGTTTGATCTTAATTTCCATAAGCTAGATTTTAATTGAGTTTATATTTGTTTTTTCTCTTTGTTACGCACACCCACATTGAGCTTTTAGTATTTTCACACATAGTATATTTAGAATTGTGAGTTTGTAATATTGAGTTGAGCTTACATTGAGTTCTCATCTATTGTAGAGAATAAATTATTTGTATTTGAGCTTTTATTTGTGAGGTCACATTGTATTGCACAAATACACCAAGAGGAGTGTAGAGGTGAGAGACGTGGTCGGTCCCAAGAGGAGTGACGTCGGTAGTAAAGCCTAGGGAGAGGTTGTAAATCCGAGCACTTGAGGAAGACACGTGAGAGGCCAACACTTGAGGTGGGATTTGCGTAGTTACGTTGTGAGTGATTGTGAATGTTGATCGGTGAGCGTTGAAAACCGATATTGTGTGGTGTAATCGTTTTTGGGTGAGCGTTGAAAACCCAGTGTGATAGTGGATTTCTCCCTGGGAGTGGAGAGCGGAGACGTAGGACAGATGGTCTGAACTCCGTGATCATATTGATTGTTTGAGTTTGCTTTGGCGCACTCTTTTTGTTCATCTTATTTAGCCATTGCCTCTTTATTTATATTGTCCACTATTTTGTTTACCCTTGTTTATATTGCTTGTCCTTGCTAATAATTTATTGCATATCTTCTTTGCTAGGATAACTTGTTAATAAGTTTTAATTAGCATTAAATCAGATTAGATCAGCATAAACCATATTCAGCCCCCTCTAGGGTTCTTTTCTAGTGGCATTAGGGTCTAACACAGTATGACTACTTAAGGATTAGATTTGTGAACCGATTTCTCTTTCTTTATAAAGATAGAATAGTACCTCTATTTATATCTAGGGTATAATGTAGACTTGTCACTTCGATCGAGCACAGGATGGCAGTGGTGAAGTGTGGGCTGGCGGATGAGTCAGCACCTCCTTTACAGGTGTCAGCTGGCGACTGGATGAGAGATCAGCTCAGCATTAAATAGGAAGTGATGGGGGGGGTATGGCGGTGCCTGCGTGGTCCGATGAGTCATGAAGGCTATCGGGGTTAGAGGCATGATGCGTCTGTCACGTATTGAATGCGATGTAGACGCGTTGCCAGTGGGAGAGGATCAAGGCAGAAGTTTGTCCTTTAACTTCCCCGAGAAGTAACTCCTTTCAAGTCGTCTTCGCGAGGCGTCCAACAAATGGTCGAGTGGGTTCGTGGCGAGTAGTCTTCGACAAAGGGGACGACAAGTACAACTTTTTGAGTCGACATGAGGGAATGTCAACTCGATAAGTCGGCTGAGTCGTCGTCCCTGCTGGTCTCTGGCCGCCAACTTGATTGGGGCATTGCATGCATAAGTACACATGTCCGTTGCTGGGCAATGAGTTACAGTTTGACGAATGTGAACACCATAACAGGAGGTATGTCTATGCACTTGGAAGAACCTTTTCATAAATGAAAAATCAAAAAAGTGTATGTAAGATTGGAACATGGCATTAAGATTATATTTTGCATGTGCTAAAATACTAGTTCTAGAAATGACAAAGCAATTAATTCATATATAAAGCATTGGTAAATTCTCAAATTCCTTCATAAATTATTAGTTTAATTATTTTACTCCTCAAACTATGTTTATAATTTTAATATGGTACTCATTTTATGGGTCTACAATAAATATTTAACAGATCAATGACGTGATAATATTTTTTTTTTTTGTATTTCTTCATAGGTTTTTATTAGTTTGTCTCCATTTCCCCAAAACTAAAGAATAAATTTAACTATTTTCTCCGAAAATATTTTACCCTTTAGCTATTTTTTATGAACTAAACAAATTATTTTTTGAAATGCAAAAGGACACTACCACATCAGTAATCTATTAAATATTTGACTATTGGATAAAAAATCGCTACATTGTGTATATACTTATAATTTAAGAAGGAAGATTGTTTCACCAAAAAAAAACTCGTGGATACTTTTCAATATATTATTGTTCTCCACACATCTATTTGGCAAGAATTAAAAATGAGTTAAAGGCGTTAACCCATTCTTAACCTCACCAAATGAGTTAACTTCGCTAAAGGATCAACAAATGCTTGTTAAGAGTTAAATTGATTAAGTTGTCTAAATGACTTAATTTGCCCTTAATCACAGAAGATGAGTTAATTTAATCAAAGAATTACCAAATCCTTATTAAAGATTAAAAATAGTAATCTAATTTGCATTAGGAGCTGGATCAAGATTTACTCGGGGGAGGGGGGGCAGTGGGGAATGGTAAAAAGCTGGAGTTTGAGCTAGTAAAAAGTTTTTTCAAGGCAATATATAGCAACAATCTAGGACTATTATAGTAACTATTTATGACCTTTTATACTGACTATTTTAGGATTTCTATAACAATTTCTTAAGGGGAGAAAATTTTGTTAAGAGAAGAATCTATTGTATGATATTATTGAGGGAATTGTTACTTTCATTCTGAAATAAACAATTTTTAATTTGGAATTGAGAACTAATCGAAAGCCTTTTAATTTCTTATTAGATTAGTATTTCTCTTTAACAATGATGATAAAATAATAATTTATTTTTACAAAAGAATTGCTCTCTTCACTTCCTATTTTCTAATCTAAACAGGCACAAAGCTGTTCTCCCATTCTCGTTCCATCTCCATCCCCTAGTTGTCTATTCGAACACAATTAGTTACCTCTCTTCCTTTTTCTTCCCTAGCTATGTGATATAGTTCAATCATCCATTTCCTTACCCTCTCTATCCAATCTAGCTATAACTCGTTTATTCTGGTGAAATGTTGACAAATACTACTCTTGGATGAAATTAACTCAAGCATTTTGCTTTTCTTCTAGAGCAACATTCATTTTTAGCTAAGTTTTGCTACCGATGAGTGTAAAAAGAAAAAATGTCAAGGTATTACTCTTGTTATATTATATCCATTATGTAAATGAAATCTCTTAAATATATTATAAAAACTTCAATCTTTTTTTTTTTTCAAATATTTGCATATATTAGTTAAATATTTCAAAGAGATTTTGAAGATCACGAGGTGAAGACTCATTTACTAAAATGAGCTACCAATAAATATAGTACTGATGAGGCTCACACCTTTTGATATGAGTAAGCAAGACGTGTAAGCGGGAGCGGATGCAGGTTCATGGATTGGGGTGCAACTCCAAGACGTGTAAGCGGGAGCGGATGCAGGTTCATGGATTGGAGTGCAGTTGCACCCTAGGTCCCTAACAAATTTACAAATTGTTCATGAAGCTATTGTAGTATCTACATTTTGTCCGCCATAAATTTTAAAAGCGACATCCAGATCTATTTAAAGACACTAAATAAGTCAGTAGATATTGAATTAGCCCCTTTAAAGTGTACAAAGTGTGTTCCATTAGGTACTATAGTTTTATAATATTATTATTTTTTATTTTTTTGATAACTCAATACTTTTTGTCTACCCCTAAACAAGAATTTTCTTAATCTGCTGCTGCAAACGGGATTCAGATCCTCTACTCATGAGGAGGTTCCTAAGATCTCCTCATGAGATATCAATCAAATGCCATGATCTCCTCATGAGCAAAAGTAGGGGGAGGATAAGGATGCGATCTTGACCTTTGATTGATAAATCAAAGGCTAAGATCTCTTTATAGGAGATATTATGAACACTATGCATTAGTAGAGGATCCCAATTTCTACATACGTGTCTCACGGCTAGACTATCTATTGGTAGCTCATTATTTTCCAACTTTAAAACATGAATCAAAAGTAGTATAAAGATGCTTGCAAAGGAGATTATTTACGTCACTTTAGACTACTTGGAATAATTTCTTTTTACCTTTCAGAAAAGAAAAGCTTTGATGCAACTCTTCGCCGAGAAAGGGCAAAAATGTCACCTCCATTCCCACCTCTGGATCGCCGCAAGAAACAAGCCAGGAAAAGGCCGAGTCCTTTCCCTCCACTTCGGGAATCAAAAATTAA